AACGGTGTTTTCGATGACTTACACTCTTCTCACGCTGTCATAGTCATCCCAATTCGTGTGTCCGACTCCTTGGAATTCAATCTTCACAGCTCTTGCTTTGTACTTGTCTTCAGTGACCGCTCTCGCTTCTCTGCGTCTCTCAAAACGTTCAAAGGCGCATAACTTGGCTCAAAATTGTCCTATTGAATTGATTTTTAGCTATATTTATAGGAAATTTTAAGGGCTACAAGAAGAGATATTCTTTGAAATAATCTATAATATATGATATCAGATGTGGCATTTAGAGGATATCCGATTAATTTCAGCCATCATACAATTTGAGAAATTTGCAAAACTTATTCATTTAAATAGTTAAATCCAAAAAATCTAAATTTATTTAAAAAAATGATAGCGCGACAACACATTATTTTTCAGCTGTCGCGCGCGCCGCTTACACGTAAATGAGTCAGCGGCTAGCGCGACAATCACCTCCTGCTGGCCGCGCCCTCAGAACAAAAATGACCATAACTCGCTTCGAAATTGTCTGATTTTTGTGATTTTTAGCTAGATTTGTAGGAAATTCAAAGAGCTACAAGATTATATAAAATTTAAGAAAATATAATTTTTCCGATTTTTTGAAAAACTGATTTAACGAAAAAATGTTTTCAAAATTTTCAAAAGTATTGTATATTATTTAAAAAACCTTAAAATTTCCAATAACTCTGTCCAATTTTCATAATTCTAGCTTCCTTTTAAAGCGAGTTATGCGCCTTTAAACGTTTGGAAGCGAGAGTGCTCTCGCTTCTCTGCGTCTCTCAAAACGTTCAAAGGCGCATAACTTGGCTCAAAATTGGCTGATTTTATAGATTTTAGCTAGATTTGTAGGAAATTTTAAGAGCTTGGTTGAAGCCTAGATTTTTAAATACTTGAAGTTGGCTTAAGGTTCAGAGGCAACACTAGACATTCAGAGGTTATTAGGAAATCACATTATAACCTTTTAAGTTATCAAGATAGAGTTATGATTTTTATATCAATTGAAAGAGCAGAAAATTTTACATCTATCCCAATCAATTAGGTTTCAGAATTCCTTACAAGGGCCGAGAAAAGTTGAGTTTAAGGTTTAGAGGCAAAACTAGAGGTTTAGAGGTTGTTGGGCGAATGATCCGTAACTTTGTTAGTTTTTAAGCTAAATTATTGATTTTTATATCAATTGAAAGAGCAAAAAATTTCACATCTAACCCACTAAATCCAATTTCAGGACTCCTACTTCCACCGTATGGAAACTCTGGACAAGGTGATCATCAACTGGCGCACAATCCTCCGCCTCCTCATCAAACAAATGAAACGTGGCTTCAACACGGACATCAAGAATCGTCAAGCGTCTCGGGACCTCGAGGACAACAACAAGGCATCGACAAGTAGCTCGCCAATCTCTCAGGAGTCTTGCAGTCTGGGTACGGTACTTAGAAAGAACTCGCGGCAGTTGACGTTTTTAGCGGTGCCCGGGTGTGGTTCGATGATGTCGCAATCGTTGACACTGCCCACCATCAATAATAACAACTATCGCAAGGGAAGTGATAGTCGATGTGAGTTGGATTTTTGTCGTTTTTTGTGGGATTTCTTGTTTTTGGTTAGCTAAATTTGAGTTAGAAAAGCCTGAAGATGTTTCCTTTGGTTCCTGTGATGTTTCCCTAAGTTTTAGATTCCACTAGATGGTTTGGAAGTTTGTAATTTTAGTCAAAATTATAAGGAGGTTCTGACAATCTAAATGACCCAAAAATGAGCTAAAACGGAGCATTTAGAGGCGAGTTATGATGATTTGAAATGAAAAAGTTGTGATTTCTCCAAAAACCTCATTTTGTCAAAAAACCTCAACGATTATTTTTTGAAATTTATATAATCTTGTAGTCCTTGAAATTTCCTACAAATCTAGTTTAAAATCAATAAAATCAGAAAAGTTTGAGCCAAGTTATACGCCTTTGAACATTTTAAGAGGCGCAGAGAAGCTAGAGCACTCTCCCTTGTCTGCGTCTCTTCCAAAATTTTAAAGGTGCATAACTCGCTTCAAAGGAAAGCTAGAACTATAAAAATTGTACAAAACTATTGGAAGTTTCAAGGGCCTTCAGATGATATTCAATGCTTTTGAAAAATTTGAAAACATTTTTTCGTTAAATCAGTTTTTCAAAAAATCGAAAAATATTATTCTTAAATTTTATATAATCTTGTAGCCCTTCAAATTTCCTACAAATCTAGTTAAAAATCACAAAAATCAGACAATTTCAAAGCGAGTTATGGTCATTTTTGTTCTGAGGGCGCGGCCAGCAGAAAGTGATTGTCGCGCTAGCCGCTGACTCATTTACGTGTAAGCGGCGCGCGCGACAGCTGAAAAATAATGTGTTGTCGCGCTATCTGTTGTCTACCTCCATGTGATTGCGCCTTTTTGTGTTTTTATCAAATTTAAGCTATATTTTCCAGTGTCTACCGTCTCGGCAGTGTCTGCCAGCTCCGTGTCCCCGGCCATCGAGCGTGCTCCATCCACAGGGCTCTTCCGTCCACTCAAGGAGTTCGCTAGGCGCCGTTTTATCAATCATTTCTAATGCTTTCCTTTTTTCTATTTCCAAAAAATGCTTACTTTTTATTCGTTTTTCCTAAAAACACATATTTTTACTAATCCTTAAAATTTCTATTTTTTCCTTGTCCACAAAAGTGGGCGGAGCTTAAAAATTGCCTCATTTACATTATGCTAATTATTTTTTTCCTCAAATTAATAAATTTTTTTTGGATAATTGAAACAATTATATATGAGAATATTCATTGCATGTCAAAGCCTGAAAATTAATTATATCAAATAATTAGGATATATAAAATAATTAGGTTACTGTAATTTAGGGGAAATTTGCAAAAAAAAGGGGCCGAGATGAAAATTAGGAGACGGAGAGAGAAAATTGGAGTAATTATTGAAAAATTAACATGTTAAGGGGTAATTAACTAATCAGTGGCTTTTGCGACAATGCAGGTTTGTTGTTGGCTTCCGTCGGCACAGTAGTCCGAAGAGGACGACGCGAAATCGTTCTCGCCCTCGATACAGGTGACGAGGTATCTAAAAAAAAATTAAAATTTTGAAAATTTCAAAAAATTTTGTTCCAGAAAATGCTAAATTCAGAGAAAATTGGATAGAAATTGATATTAAAGGAGTTTGAAAATGGTTGATTTCTTTTTTTTTTTTTTTGAAATTTTTTAGATTTCGAAGAAGGTTTTCCGGGCTCCATAGTGATTCAATTTTGCTGAAAGTAACACAGATCGATTGGAAATTTTCTGGAAATTATTTTGAAAAGTTGAATTTTTGGAAAATATTGATTTTGAGCTATTTCCGGAGCGTTAGAACCCTCTAGATCAAGGAAATGTGCTCTACAGACAATTTCTAAACTTCAAGGAATTTTTTTCCTGTCTTCTAGTGATCCGATTTGGTTGAAAATTATACAGATCGATAGGAAATTTTTTGGAGGTCATTTTGGAAATTTGAATTTTTGGAAAATATCGATTTTAAGCTATTTCAGAGCGATTTTCCGTCATTAGGCTCATAGGTTTCAAATTGTCCAAAACGTTATAGGAATTTATGCCCAGGTCATGGTGGTCCGATTTTATTGAAAATTATACAGATCGATTGGAAATTTTCTGGAAATTATTTTGAAAAATTGAATTTTTCGAAAATATTGATTTTGAGCTATTTCAGAACGAGTTTCAGCAGATAGACTGAAAAGTTTCGGTTTGTCTTGAAAAATCTTTTTTTTTAATCTTCAAGGAGGATTTTCGTAGCTTCTAGCAATCCAGTTTTTAGGAAAATTATACAACCCGATAGGAAATTTTTTGGAGATCATATTGATAATTTGAATTTTTGGAAAATATCGATTTTAAGCTATTTCAGAGCGATTTTTAGCTGATAGGTTGATAAAACTAAAGAGAAGCGCTCAGTACCTTCTAAACCATAGCTTAAAACTGGTTAATCATCAAGCAAGTTAGCTCTTTAGACAAAAATTGAAAAATTGAAATTCCCTCCAGTTATTTACCTGACTCCAGCGTATTTCTCCTTGAGACTAGCGACAATGTTGTCTCGGGATTCGGTGGTGGTGGTGCGGACTCCCTGCAAGAATTTAATTTCAAATTACATAAAAATTTCATACTGTAGTAAACCCCTTTAACCAATTTTCTCCAGCTTATTGTAAAATAACTTACATTTCTCGTTTCCTGTGAAAGTTATCAAAAAGTTGTCAACTGATAAAATGTTTATCACAACATCAGCTACATTTTACTAGTTAATTACTTTTTAATATCTCTTACAGTAACCGAGATAATTTGATTCAAAGTTAAAAAGCCTGAGCTTGTCGGATGAGCTACACTGTTGGCTGCCGACTCTTTAACTTTAACCCAATTTATCTCAGTTCCTTTAAAAGATATCAAAAAGTTATCAACTGATAAAATGTTTATCATAATATCAGCAACATTTTACAAGTCAACCGCTTCTAGAAAACTTTTATGAAAACTGAGATAACTTGGGTTAAAGCTACAAGGGATTGCTGATAATTTGAGCCGCTCTCGACCCGTTTTTGATCCGTTTCCCACTCATTTTTGAGATTCTATTATCAATTTTTCTACAGATTACGCTCAAAGACCTCTACTATACTAAAAAAAACCTCTCACTCACATTCAAGATGATCTTTCTCAACTCTGGATCGGTACACTTGGAATCCTCGCTGGCTGCTCTCTTCTTTCTTCCGCATCCGCATCCTCCGCCACACGGTGGTGGTGGTGGAGGGGGAAGTTTGAGTGTTGGGACGTTGAATGAGATAACTGAGCATCCGAGAGTTGGCAGACATCCTCCACCACCACCTCCTCCACATCCGCCTCCACATCCGCCTCCGCATCCACCACCACCTCCACCTCCCGGGAAGAGGAAGGCTTGGGTGGAGACGATGATCAGGGCTAGGGTTACCACGAATCTCTGGAATAGTTTCTCTTGTCCTTAGGGGGTTTTTTTAAATATTCTGTTTCTCATGAAAATTATCTGTTGATCTAAATAAAATCATGAAAATCGGTTCACGGGGAGCTTAGTTACCGAATTTCCTCTAATAGGAGCACACCCAAATTTGAGCTGATATATCTCGGTTCTTGTAGAATATATCAAAAAGTAGTCAATTAATAAAATTTTTATCATAATATCAGCTTTATTTTATCAGTTGAAAACTTTTTGATATCTTTCAAAGGAACTGAGATAAATTGGTTCAAAGTTGACGGTTTGGGTGGGTCTCAATATATAGGTAATTGGAATCTAACGGCTTCTAACTCCGTTCGTAATGAACCGATCAAAATGAAACTTAAATAGATCGATAGGAAATTTCTTGGAAATTGTTTTACATGCCGAGTTGAGAATTCAATAAATTTCAAGCATCGATTGATATTCGGAAACTAGGTCAAGCTCAAAATGCTCTTAATGGTAAGCTTAAGGTAAAGCGAGCCCAATTATCTCGGTTCCTGTAAAAGATATCAAAAAGCTGTCAACTGACAAAATATTAGTGATATCATGATAAGCAATTTATCAGTTGACATTTTATTTCTATCTCTTACAGGAACGGAGAAAAATTGATTCAACGTTAACAACTTCTATTTGACTCTAATTGTTTACGCTAGCTTAAAATGACCTATGATTTTAGAAAATCCTTATTTTGATAGTTACAGAAATTGTTGGACCTTGAGGCAGTCTTAAAGCCTTAAACCTTAAACCTTAAGGCAGTTAAAAAAAGGGATGCACACAATTCTAGCTTATCAATTAAAAAAGCTTACCATTTTCTGCTTTTGCCTAGTCGGTGGGTGTCACTGCTTCAAAATGAAAATGGCAAATGCTTAGATATCTTGTATTTATAAACCCTCCCACCATCCTCCCCTCCCCCCACTCATCTCATTCCATAGTCAAAAGTAACCAGTTCTTTCTCTCCTTCCCTTTTTTGCGAATAGATAGATAGAGATATGCCAATCACTTGTATACGAGTTTGAATGTATTCGAAGCAGCGACGCCTTCTGAATCCTCTGACGTCGCTGTCGACCCGTCTTATCACACTGATTGCATCAGTATATGGTGTTTGTGGTTAACTGGTATGCCAAACTGAGAACGTCTTAGTTTTTCAGATGATCAACATGAAGGATCTCTTGACACTTTCAATTGTCTGTTGTTGAGTGTGATTGTTATCTGAAAGTGTGAATAATGAAGATGCAAGAATGATGTTTATGGCAGATGAGAATGGCAAGATTTTGAGATTTCGTCGGGAAGTTTTTTTTTCCTCTAAAGTTGAAAATGGTGTAAAAGGAACGTTCAATTTAGTACTGATTTACAAGGAGCTGACGTAAAGGGAACTCCCAAATAAGTATTTGTCCCTTTATACTCGGTAAAGTCAGCTTAAAATGAAGTCAGCCGGAACTAAAGCATCAAGTGAAGACGTTCTTAAGCTCAGCAATTTAAAAAAAACCGCAGACAACATGTCCCAGAAGCGCCTTAACTTTAACCCGATTTATCTAGGTTACGGTATGAGATATCAAGAAGTGGTCAACTGATAAAATATAGGTGATATTATGATAAGCAATTTATTAGTAGACAAATTTTTGATATCTCTTATAGAAACCGAGATAGTTTGAGTTAAAGCTTCCCTACTGGTAAATGGTGCTTTGAGCCGTTTTCGACCCGTTTTTGATCCGTTTCTTATCAATTCTTGAGATTTTCTTATCAATTAGTAAATTTATTAGTTTCTAATAGTTCTATCAAGTTTGTTATTTTATTTAATATCTGTAAAAACCCAAAAAAGTTTACAAAATTGAATGATTTTCACAAATTATCTGTCAAAATACCGTGACAAACGCCCAAGTGCACTTTGAGCTCAATTATCTCGGTTCGCATTAGAGATATCAAAATTTCGTCAACTAATAAATTGTTTATCATAATATCACAAACGTTTTATTAGTTGACTACTTTTTGATATCTTTTACAGTAATCAAGATAACTTGACTTAAATTTGAGTCCATCCGGATGAGCAATTTTCCTGCCCAGAAGTACCGTAATCCGTTGTCTGGACAACCTAAACTTTTCTCAACTTTTAACATCTTTCCTTGCTAATCAGCATATCTTCACTTGCCAAACGAGACAAGAAACTTTCCATGTCATCAAATATCCCTCCGACGATCTCTTCCGCAAACAATCCATCAATCTCATTCGTCTCTTTTTATCGGATCGCTTACGCGTTAACCGTTTCTGCTTCTGGCAACTGGTTATGTGTTCATTTTGTGGTCTTATCAGAAGAGATAAGCTGGATATTACTACTAGTGATATGATATGTTAGCCCTAGACTTCCACTCATCAGAAATAATTGGAAAGATGCGGAAAAAATCGGGGCTAGGGGAGGAAATGGGGAAACCAAAAATTTTGAGCTCAATTATCTCGATTCCTGTGAAAGATTTCAAAAATGTGTCAACTGATAAATTATTTATCAAAATATCAGCTATATTTTAATAGTTGACAATTTTTAGATATCTTCCATAGGAGCCGAGATATATAGGCTCAAAGTTCAAGTATTAGGTTGGCATTAGATCAAACCCTTGTAATACTGTTTTCTCTGCGCCCTCCTAACTTTGTGTGCTATTTCTTTTTCATTATCTTATCAGCAAAGGGTTTATAACCCGTTAATGCACTGTTGACATTTTCATTTATTGATTTGTAATACCACTAGATAACTTTTTTTTTCTCTAATTTTCACCCATTTTTGCCCCTTTAAATGCCCGATTTTCCATCTGAAGCCTACACGGAAGCCCAACAAAAATGGCTTGGACGGGATCACCTTATCACTCCAACAATTAAAAAAGCAATTGGAAATGTTTTGGAAGGAAAGAAGGTTCTAGATGTCGGGTGTGGAAATGGTGGGCTTTTAGGGAATGTAACTATACCTACTTTAAGCACAATTATCTCGGTTCCTACAAGAGATATCAAAAAAATGTTCAACTGATAAAATGTTTATCATAGTTTCAGCTATACTTTATCAGTTGACCACTTTTTGATATCTCTTACGGGAATAGAGATATATTGACAAATTTTCGATATCTCTTCTAGGAACCGAGATAAACCGAGTCAAAGTTAAGGGGTCGGCAGCCGACCGGATAGCTCCGCTGATTAGCTCAAAGTTGAAAAGTCAAGCTTGCCGGATGAGCTACCCTATCGGCTGCCGGCCTTTAACTTTAACCCGATTTATCTATGTTACGGTATGAGATATCAAGAAGTGGTCAACTGATAAAATACAGGTGATATTATGATAAGCAATTTATTACTAGACAAATTTTCGATATCTCTTATAGGAAGCGAGATAGTTTGAGTTAAAGCTTCCCTACTGGTAAATGGTGCTTTGGGCCGTTTTCGACCCGTTTTTGATCCGTTTCTTATCAATTCTTGAGATTTTCTTATCAATTAGTAAATTTATTATTTTCTAATAGTTTTATCAAGTTTGTTATTTATTTAATATCTGTAGAAACACAAAAAAATTACAAAAGTGAGTGACTTTCACGAGTTATCTGTCAAAATACCGTGTCAAACGCCCAAGTGCACTTTGAGCTCAATTATCTCGGTTCGTATTAGAGATATTGAAAAAATGTTAATTGAAAAAATATTTATCATCTTATTAGCTATATTTTATTAATTGACAAATTTTCGATATCTCTTCTAGGAACCGAGATAAACCGAGTCAAAGTTAAGGGGTCGGCAGCCGACCGGATAGCTCCGCTGACTTTTCAACTTTAAGCCCTTTTATCTCATTTCTTGCGAGAGATATCAAAAATCTGTTAACAGATAAATTGTTCATCACTTTATCAGCTATATGTTATCAGTTGACAACTTTTTGATATCTTTTACAGTAACCGAGATAATCTAAATTTCCAGGTCACTACTCATTCGACTTCCTTCAATGGGGTGCTGATGAAGTTGTTGGAATCGATAATTCCCCAGAAATGATTCAAATTTGTCAGGATTCCCAAAAGAAGCTTCCAGAATCATCCAAAATCGATTTTCACGAATCCAACATCACCGATTTCAGTCTTCAGAAGCATTTCGACGTCGCCACTGCCTTCTTCGTTCTCCAATTCCTACATTCAAAATCCGACGTGGCGAAGGCGATTCAGAATATTTCGAATCATCTGAAAAGTGGAGGAATTCTATTCGGATTGATTCCAAATGGCATAGAAGGCGTCAACCCTCCAGAAGACATGGGATGGAAATTGGGGGCTCAGATTCAAAAGACACCGGGGAGCCATTTTTTCGATGGAGAAATTGTCGGAATCAATTTTTATGCGAATCGAGGTAATTCTACCGTAACTTGGTTCATTTTCGTCCAAATTAAAATTTTTTGAAAGTTTTAAGTTTGGCTTATTTGAAGCTTCAAAATAAGTATAAACACGATATTCTTTAATTTTTTTCCAATTTTAGTGGTTAGTTGGAAAATCTACCGTAACTCAATTCATTTTTGTTTAAACTAAGAAATTTTTGCAGTTTTGAGTTTGGCTTGTTTTAAGCTTCAAAATGAATATAAACATTAACTGCTAAATTTTGGACCCAGGAAAAATTAAAGAAAATGAAAAATTAAAGAAAATTCAAACTACAAAAAAAAATCTAATTTTCCATTTCCAGAGGTCTGCGGAAGCTCCAAAATTGCTCTCCACTCTCGTGAATTCTATGAAAAGTGCTTCAAAGATTCAGGATTCTCCAAAATCGAATGGATCGCTCCACATTTCACAGATCATGCCAAAAATCTACTGGGGGAAGAATTCTGCGATCAATTTTTGACTCCACCATGTGATATTATGTTTAAGTGTGTTAAGAGTTAATTGGAGTTGAGCTAATTGATATACTTATTGCATTTGAACCTGAATTCGATTATTTTTTAATTAAATATTGAACCTGTACTTTTTTAAATTGTATTCTTCTAATTTAGGGTGCCTTGTTCTCTAAGTAAAACGTCCTGTCACGTTTTGATGGATTTCATTGTTTTCGTCTTTACCTTGTCACATTCATGTCAAATATCCACTCATATTTTGGGTTTATTGCCCCTAAATACTACTATTCGAATGAAGCACACAGTACCAAAAGAAGAAAGGGGGCGGAGTTTCCCGGAAACGGGGTCAGCCCCCAATGCAGGTGTGCTAAGCCCCGCCCCTTCCTCTCACATATATAAGGGCTAGAAAAGTCAATATTGGCGTTCAAGGTTTGGGAGGCAGGTCTGCGTGGGCAATGGGCTGGTGGTCTAGTCGGTCAGTGTTCTACGGTTCACTGGAAGGCAGAATCACTGGAACAGGGCTCGCCACTCCTGCTGAGGATCAGACTGCGAGCACAGTTCAAGGTTTGAGAGGCAGGACTGCGTGAGCAATGGTCTGGTGGTCTAGTCGGTCAGTGTTCTACGGTTCACTGGAAGGCAGAATCACTGGAACAGGGCTCGCCACTCCTGCTGAGGATCAGACTGCGGACAATGGGTTTTGAAAGGTGATCCCATTGGTAAATAAACCTTTTTCCCTTTCAATGTACTGAGCCTCTACGTGGCGAAAGGGATCAACAGACTACATTTGTCTGGCTAATCCAGTACACAAAATCCGAATAAAATCCTGTTTTTTCTCTTGATTTTTTAAACTACGAATTCTTGTCATTTTAGCCCATTCTCCCAAAAAATTATATCTTATATAAAATGAGAAATTACCAAAAACATGACACAGTAATAAAATTATAATCAGTATAGATGGTGGCTAATAAATACTGATACAAATTCAACACGTCATAACTTGTTTAAAACTTTCTTGTAAAGGATATCAAAAAGTGATACATTGATAAAATGTTGCTAATATCATGATGAACATTTTATTAGTTGATAACTTTTGATATCTTTGACAGGAACCGAGATAATTGAGCTCAAAGTTGACCTAGAATAAATTAGGTCATGACCTAGAAAAATTCCAGGTCATGACCTAGAAAAATTCCAGGTCATGACCTAGAAAAAAATTAGGTCATGACCTAGAAAAAAATTAGGTCATGACCTAGAAAAATTTCAGCTGTGTCGCGGTCGTGCGTTGCGTGTTTTAGCCCAAAATCTAAATCGAAGGAAATGGGTCGTGTTTAGGCTCATTTCAAAGCTAAAAACTTCAAAAATTGAGAAATCTAGTTTTTGGGTCAATTGAATCACTCGGAAAAATGTTACAGTAAATAAAACGTTGACTCTGAAAAATTCTGAAAAAGAGAAATTCGAAAAAAAAGTCATTTTTGGGCACATTTTGGAGCAAAAAACCTTAGAATATTGAATTTCAAAGCTTTCTTTTCATAATTATTGTATTATCTAAACAGGTTATAACTTTTATTAAACTTTCAAAAATTCAATAAATCTCAATGTCCTCCCTCTTCTACGTCTGCATACCGTCCATCATGTACTGTCAACGAGTCAATAACCACACGTCTCTCGTTTTCCACCTCAATAAAAACCGCATCGAATGGCGTTCGACGAGTGAAGGTTTCATTCATTCGGATGGATTCGGTGAACTGCACAGACCGCCCGTCTTTGACGTCACCGAAACGGGAGAGCTGGAAATAGCCATAGTTTGAGCTCAATTATCTTGGTTACTATGCAAGATAGCAAAAATTAATCAACTGATAAAATGTTGCTGATATTATGATAAACAATTTACTAGTTGACAACTTTTTTATATCTTTTACAGAAACTGAGATATAAGGGTTTAAAGTTGAAAAGTCGACGCTTGCAGGATGGGCTAGACTGTCGGCTGCCGACCTTTTAACTTAGACCCGGTTTATCTCGGTTACTGTAAGAGATATCAAAAAGTTGTCAATTGATAAGATATTGCTGATATTATGATAAACGATTTATCAGTTGACAACGTTTTGATATCTTCAACAGGAACTGAGAAAAATAACCTCAAAATTAGAAGTAAGAAATCCCTCAATGTTCCTTGGCTAATATAATTTACCGAATAAGTCTCCGCTTGCCCTTGGGTCAATTTCCCCATAAACTTTCTGTACCAATCCAAAGCGTCAAAAGTTTCAGAGAAAAATTCTGAAAATTCGGTATCACTTTGATTACGGACCGCACTTTCGATGCCAAGAAGGGTTTTGTCAATTTCCAGATTATAGTCCAGTGGTTCCTGGAAAATAAGGCTAGAATTCATTTTCTCTAGGTTCAAGGGGAAATTTGATGCCAAAACTGTGATCAGCTCAAAAATTAAGTCTGGGATACTTACCAATTTGACGATTCTTGCAGGAATAATAGCCAAAAAACCCAGAAAAATGAAAATTCTAGACAGCATTTTGGTATTTCCAGAATTCTTCAACAATACCATCCTTCTCTTTTATTCTAGACAACCTCATTATTTTTTTATTACACTCATTGTATCACAAAATATTAAAAATACTTGTTTTTCTTCCTGTAAATTGAAAGTTTGGTGCCAAAAATATTGGGAAATTCGGGAAACGAAGTTTAATGAGAATTTTAATGGTAGCCAGAATAGTGTGGAACTTTGAACCTATATATCTCGGTTACTGTAGGAGATATCAAAAAGTGATCAACTGATAAAATATTTATCAGAAGATCAGCGATGTTTTGTTTATTGGCAACGTTTTGATATTTTTCACAGAAATTTAGATATATAAGCTCAAAGTTGAAGGAGGGGG